GATGTGTAATTTGTTTAGGAACGGAAGAAAATTATCAAGGGCATGAAAACCCATGTAGACAAAATAGCTCACAACAAATTTGGTAGCATGGTATGACTTTGCAAGCTTCTGATCCATTCTTCTACTTTCTACTATTCCATTGATATCTGTCCATTAGCTTGACTTGTTAATCAACTTACATCATTAGTTTTTTGATCTTGCAATGGACCTTTATAATTTCACAACTGTTCGTTCAAATCACTGTTTCAGGTACTTGTCTGTATCTTTTCGGTTGTTGATGACACAAAACTCGTGTCTAAGGTATGTTTCATTATATTATAAGTTTTTGTCATTCTTCTGTTGCAGTAATTGTCACTTCTGGCGGTAATGTGTTTCACATGCAGATTATAATTCGCGAGCTCGAAGGGAATTTGAAGGAGCTTATTTTGGATCAGGTTAGTTAGTGTGTTCTTCCATTGTCTTTCACTGTTCCTGCAGATGATGTCTCACGATTGGAATTTCTGTCGAATTTGTTGTGTTTGTTGATATTTCTTGCCTTTTATTTTAAAATATTTAGTAAATTCTGTGTTTCTTTCTGGCAACTAGACAGAATTTTGTCCCTGATTTTTCTTTATTCAATTTTATTTTTTTGTAATTCTGTGATTTTATTTTATTTTATTTTTGTATTTATTTGTTCATTCTTTGGTAGAGTGGTCGCCGCCCTTTTCTGCAGCTTCTCCATCCTAATTGTACACGATATTTCACTCCCGAAGATTTATCATCTTTGAGCCTGTCTATACCATCCCTGAAAAATAAGGTAAAGACACCCTTCTCCGTATCTTTTTTACAATTGTACTGCTAAAAATCTTTATTGCTCTTGGATTTAACATTAGTTTCTCTATTCTTTGTTTCAGAGTATATCAGATGGTGGTGAAACTGCCGAAGAAGGAGATGCCGATGGTGATAATGACAAATCTGATTCAAATAAACAGTCTAATGAAGGTGGTAAGAAGGATTCTTTCAAGCGGAGGCAAGAGTTGCTCGTCAAGAGTGGGCTTGCTGAGGTTTGTACCTCGTGCAATTTGGATAAATTGTGGAGAAAAAAATTAGATGAG